TTTCTTTTTTTTCCTCTGGTCAGCAGTTAACTAGAAAATTCTATTAACCAATATACTCCTTTCTTGTCTTTCTTTTTTTTTCTTGAGACAGGATCTTGCTCTGTTGCCCAGATTGGAGTGCAGTGGTGTGATCACAGCCTACTGCAGGCCTTAAGCTCCTGGACTGATGTGATCCTCCCACCTCGGCCTCTCAAATAGCTAGAACTACAGGTGTGTGTATTTTTATTTTTATTTTTTGCAGAGATGGGGTCTCAATATATTGCTTAGGCAGGTCTCAACTCCTGGGTTCAAGTAATCCTCCTGCCTCAGGCTCCCAAAGTGCTGGAATTACAGGCAGGAGCTGCCATACCTGGCCTATACTCCTTTTCATATTACTTTTGGATGGGTTGAGGTTTTTCCTGTTGCATGCTTAGGCATACCATGAAAGCCTAATGGCCATTAGAGGTCAGTAAAGCACATGTGGATAGGTAAGACCAGGTTCTGTCCTACAGTAGAAAATTCGCAGAGCTAAGATTTTTCTTCCAGATTTATTTGGAGACAAAGATAAACAAAAAACACTTTATTGAGAGATGATTGACATGCAAACATTTGTAGGTATATAGTATATACAACTTGATGCCTTTGGAGGGAAGTATACATCCGTGAAATCATTGTCACAATCTAGGCCATAAACAAACATATCCATCACCTTCAAAAGTTTCTTCCCATCCACTTATTATTAATCATTATTATTATTTTGTGATAAGAATATTTAACATAAGATCTACCCTCTTGGCAACATTTTAAGTATATGAAGAAATATCATTAACTATACCCACTGTGCTGTCTAGTAGATCTCTAGGGACTTACCTTGTATAACAGAAACTTTGTATCCTTTGAGTAGTACTTCTGTGTTTTGCCCTCCCATTTTTTTTTTTTTTTTTGAGTTGGAGTTTCGCTCTGGTTACCCAGGCTGGAGTGCAATGGCGCGATCTCGGCTCACCGCAACCTCCACCTCCTGGGTTCAGGCAATTCTCCTGCCTCAGCCTCCTGAGTAGCTGGGATTACAGGCACGCGCCACCATGCCCAGCTAATGTTTTGTATTTTTAGTAGAGACGGGGTTTCACCATTTTGACCAGGATGGTCTCGATCTCTTGACCTCGTGATCCACCCGCCTCGGCCTCCCAAAGTGCTGGGATTACAGGCGTGAGCCACTGCGCCCGGCTTGCCCTCCCATTAATCCAGGCAAGTACCATTCCAGTCTCTGCTTCTATGAATTTAACTATTTTGCATTCATCATTTATGTTGTATTTGCCCTGTATCTGGCTTATTTTACTTAGCATAATGTCCTCCAGGTTCATTCGTGTTGTTGCACATGGCAAAATTTCTTTCCTTTATAATGTTGAATACTATTCCATTGTGTATTTTTACCACATTAAAAAGAATCCATTCATTCATCAATAAACATTTGGATTGTTTCCATGTTTTGGCCATTGTGAATAATGCTGAAATGAACATGGGTGTGCAGATATCTCTTCGAGATCCTGACTTCTACTTTTTTTTTTTTTTTTTTTTTTTTTTAAGTTTCTTTCCCCTAGGTTGGAGTGCAATGGTGCGGTCTCAGCTCACTACAACCTCTGCCTCCTAGGTTCAAGTGATTCTCCTGCCTCAGCCTCCCGAGTAGCTGGGACTACAGGCGCATGCCACAGCATGAGGCTAATTTTTGTATTTTTTGTAGAGATGGGGTTTCACTATGTTGGCTGGGCTGGTCTTGAACTCCTGACCTCATGATCTGCGTGCTTCGGCCTCCCAAAGTGCTGGGATTACAGATGTGAGCCACTGCACCTGGCCTTGATTTCAATTCTTTTGGATACATACTCAGAAGTGGAATTGCTGGATTATATGATAGTTCTCTTTTTAATTTCTTGAAGAATTTCCATAATGTTTTCTACACTGGCTGTGCTAATTTACATTCCCACTGACAGTATTTGAGGGTTCCCTTTACTCCCATCCTTGCCAACATTGGTTATCTTTGGTCTTTTTGGTAGTAGCCATGCTAACATATGTGAGGTAATATCTTATTATGGTTTTAATCTGCATTTCCCTGATGAAAAATTTACTCTTTTAAAGTATATATTTAAGTAACTTTTAGTATATTCACAAGGTTGTACAACTATCACCACTATCTATTTCCAGAACATTTTTATCACCCCTAAAGAAACTGAGTACCCATTAGCAGTAGTCCTTTCTCATCCTCTCCTTCTAGTCCTTGGAAACTACTAACCTACTTTTGGTCTCTAAATGTTAGGGGCTAAAAAACTTGTTGTCTTAGTTTGTTCAGTTTGCTATAAGAAAATACAATAAACTGGGTAATTTATAGACAACATAAATTTATTTTTGACAGTTCTGGAGATGGGGAAGTGCTAGATCAATGCACCAACAGATTTTGTGCCTAATGAAGGCCCATTACTTAGGTCATAAATGGTGTTTTCTTGCTGTGTCTTCACGTGGTTGAAGGAGTGAATGAGCTCCCTTGGCCTATTTTATAAGGGCACTAATCCCATTCATGAGGATTCCATGCTCATGACTTAATCAAATTTCAAGGGTCCCACCTCCCAGCACTATTGCCCTGAGGGTTAGGATTTCAACATATGAATTTGGGAGGGACACAAATCTTCAAGTCATAGCAGTTGTCATTTTATTTTCTTGATAGTATCCTTTGAAGCACAAAAATTGTTATTTTGATAAGGTCCAACTTACCGAAATTTTCCTTAGTTGCTTGTGCTTTATGTGTGATATCTAAGGCATTTATGCCTAATCCAAGGTTGTGAAGGGTTTTGTAGTTTTAGCTTTTGCATTTAGATTTTTGATTCATTATGAGTTAATTTTTGTAAATGGTGTAAGATAGGTATCCAACTTATTTCTTTTGCATGTGGATATCTACTTGCCCTACCACCATTTGTCCCACACTATTTAGGGCATCTAATTTACCAGTATTTAGCCACATTAAAAATGCATATTTCCTACATTCTATAAATTATTCCCTATATTCAACTTATGGAATATCAATGTGGATCTATGAGGCCATATTCAAAGATATTAATTATAGCATTCTTTTAATTATAAAATATTAGATACAATATAGTATCATTGAGTAATGAATAAATTATGAAACATTCATATAATGGAACATAATGTATCTGTTAAATGGAAAAATTATATGAGCTGATTTTATAGCTACCATGATATTTTACTGAGTTAAATAGTTTCTTTTAAGCTGATGTTTATTAAACTTTACTGTTTGTCAGACACAGTTCCAAGTGCTTTATAAGTATTAAGTCATAACAAACCAACAACTCTAAGGTGTTATTATTACCCCATTTTACAGAGGAAGTTCATAGTATTTAAGCAACTTCTCCAAGGTCACACAACTAGTATAGTAAGCAGATAAGCCAGGACAAAACAAGTCTGACTCAAAGTTTGCAGTCTAATCAATCCCCTTATGGTTGCCAAAGCTGTATCTATCCATCTGTATACATACATCTAATATATATACATACATATATATTATATATACATATACAAAATATTATACATACATATAAAAGATATATACATACATATATGAAGAGATTTTACATATTTATATAAACTACATATATAAAATATATAAATATATATAAGATATATGATATATAATTATATATAAATATATATCCATCCCAACTTGGTTTTTAAATAAGTCATCTTTAAGTATATAGGTTTCCATGAACATTGCAAAACATCTAAAAGATAACCAGGAAAGTATCAATAGTCAGGTTTGAAAGACAGGAAGGAGAAGAGAACACCGTGTGCTCAGAGCCTCCTATATGTCTCTTTCTGTACTATGGCTCTTTTCGGAAATGATCAGATTTAATTTTCTGACATTTTTCAAGGCATAAATTATACTCATTTTACAAAATAAGAACTTAAGAATTTAAGTGTTAACTAAATTCTTTGCATAGCAGAAGACAAAGTGAGGCTTTCTAGGTTGAAAGAACAGCCTAGCCAGGCACAGCGGCTCATGCTTGTAATCCCAGCACTTTGGGAAGCCAAGGTGGGTGGATTGGCTGAAGTCAGGAATTCAAGACCAACTTAATGAAACCCAGTCTCTACTGAAAATACAAAAACTTAGCCAGGCATGATGGTGGGCGCCTGTAATCCCAGCTACTCCGGAGGCTGAGGGAGGAGAATCACTTGAACTCAGGAGGCGGAGGTTGCAGTGAGCTGGGATTGTGCCATTGCACTCCAGCCTGGGCAACAAGACCAAAATTTCAACTCAAAAAAAAAAAAAAAAAAAAAGAAAAAGAAAAGAAAAGAAAGAACAGTCTAAGAAAAAGTGAAAAAATGATAGAGTTGAATAAAATAACTGGCTTGACTAGGGCTGAGGGCTGATGTTGGGAAGAAATGGAAAACAAATGAAATAGATTTAGCGGTGCCGTGTTAGAAGTGCTGAGTGCCAGAGGGATTTACATGTATTGACTCTGGGGAGCAAAGATGAAAATTGGTAAATATGGGAGTAAAGATGGAAATTCTTCCATATTGCTTGAATTTGTTACACAATCGATATTATTTTTGTTAGTAAAAACATTGAGATAGAAATATTTTTAAAACATGTTTGAGGCCTTACTGTTTGCTGGGTATGGTGCTACTATTGATTTCCTTCAGTCAAAGACTCCTAGGAACATATCTGTAGTTGAACAAAGTTGGGTTTATTGTCTTGTTGCAATGAGAAAGAAGACATGCAATGATGAACCATGGGGCATGTCAGCAGGAGGGCATCTCAAATAGCAATTCCATTTTATCATTCTAATAAAGACAGGCTTTGAAAACTTTTTAGTCGATGTTGAAGACCAGTTAATTAAGGTTTAAGTAGTAAGTGTTGAAAATGTATGTAAGTGGGGCACACTGCCAGGTGAAATATACAACCTGTAACTGCTCAGACTGAGGACTAAAAGGCTGCTGAAGGAACTGATAACATCGCTTGGTTCTTCATTAGAACTTGTAAGTATGGCACATCTTTGGCTCATGAATTTTGACTAATTCTCATTCCAAACAGGATATTTCTCAGAGCAAGTTTCATGTCCTTATTACGAAGACTATAGATCAGAGGATTAAAAAGAGGAGTCACTACGGAATATACCAGTGTGAGGATCTTCTGCAATAAAGTTGGTACATCATATGTAGGACCTACATACATTACCATGACTGTCCCATAGAAAAGAGATACCACAAGCAAATGAGAACCACAGGTAGAGAAGGCTTTTCTCCGACCAGCTGCACAAGGGACCTGAAAAACAGCTGTTATCAATAGGGTATAGGATCGAAGAATGTACATACTAGTGAAAAAGAGGACAAGCGAGCTCTGAGTATAGAAAATACATTCAGTTATGGGAGCTGGGGCACAGGCTAGAGCCATCAATGGGTCCATGTCACACAGGAAGTGATCAATGATATTAGGACCACAGAAGGGGAGTTGGGAGATGAAGAAAATGGGAATTGGGTATTCAAGGAATCCAATGAGCCAACAGAAAGACACCAGCTTACTACAGAACCTTCCAGTCATGATGGCGGGATACTGCAGTGGGTGGCAGATGGCTAGGTATCGATCATAAGCCATTACTGCCAGAAAGAGACATTCAGTTGTTCCCAGTGAAAAGAAGAAATAGAACTGAAAGAAGCACCCAGAAAATGAGATGGCCTTGGTCTTGGAAAGAATGTTGGCTAGCATGTTAGGAACAGTGGAGGAAACATACGAGATCTCAAGGAAGGCAAAGTTTCCCAACAGAAAGTACATGGGGTTGTGTAGTTGTGGGTTGCATTTCACTGCATAGATGATGGCTCCATTTCCCAGCAAGGTCAAGACATAAATCACCAAAAACAATGAGAAGAGGAAAATCTGTATCTTCCAGGAACCAGGGAATCCCAGGAGAATAAACTCCGTTACAACGTGTGTTGCTGACTTGTTCATGGATCTTAAATCTACGAAGAAGAAAGACATGAGTGTAATCCAAATTTCTTTGCTTTCTACACATCTCAAGACCTTTGTCAAGATGAGAACTTGAGCTACACAGGAAAATACAGAAGATATTCTGAGACCAGGTGGGAATACATCCTACCATATTTTGAATTGATTGTGGTTCTAAGTCTCAGTGTTATTTTGCTAGAATCTAATGCAGCTAGAATTTTCTACACTAGTGGCAGAACTAGACAAATTCTTTTCTTTCTTTTCTTTTCTTTTGATGCTCGAGAAGACCTTTTCAGCTTTTGATTTTTTTTTTCCAATGTTGATTATGGGTTTTCTAGCACAAGCTTATCAATTTTCTCTTATTTAGCCTAACTTGTTAAAAGAGACATTTTGAGGATAACTGATATGAAATTGGGTTAGATCTTTGACAACAAAATAGTTTGCTGCATAGAGAGACAACTCCATGATAATATTTTAAAAATATCTCTAATGATTTGGCAGTGTTTATTTTTATGTTTTTTACACATACGATACAAAAAGGAACTATCTTACTTTTTGTAATCAGATACCATGTAGATGAAATAAAGAAAATGACATTTTCAATACAAAAATTTAGTTTAGTGAGCATTTTGTTTGATAAAAGCAAAGGGATTTTCTAAAAGAATCTGAGATCAAATGGGGTTTTGTGTGCAATCTTATCTAGTAGAATTTTGTTTACTGAAAGGAAGGAAAGGACATTTTCAAATATTTGACTAGGTATGTACTTTTCAGTAGCAACAAATTTATGTATTTAAGATTTAAATAAAATATACAAATGTGTTTAAACAACAGTAATCTCATACTTGATTAATACTTAAAATGTGCTGATTAAGCCTTAAAATAGTGATAGTTTTGGCTGGGCACAGTGGCTTATGCCTGTAGTTCCAGCAATTTGGGAGTCCAAGGTGGGCAGATCACTGAGGCCAGGAGTTTGAGACCAGCTTGGCCTACATGGTGAAACCCCAACTCTACTAAAAATACAAAAATTAGCTGGGTTTGGCGGTGCATGCTTGTAATCCCAGCGACTTGGGAGGCTGAGGCAGGAGAATTGCTTGAACTCAAGAGGCAGAGTTTGCAGTGAGCGTAGATCTCACCACTGCACGCCAGCCTGGGCAACAAAGTGAGACTCCACCTCACCAAAAAAACAAAAAACAAAAACCCCCAAAAACAAAAAGGTAGTTTCAATATTGAGTTTCTTGTTAAGTTAAGATCTCTTGTCTTGTGTATTGCAGGTCACCAGTCATAACTTTGTCAGGAACATAAGAGAAAAATGTGAAAGGCAATAAAGAATACAGAATTTGGAGGAAGCATCATGTATCCTTGGGAGTACATGATGTGGAATACATGTGGAAGATTTGAACTTCCATATCACTAGCTCTGTGGTAGTTTTTAAGATGCATAAAAAAGGAAATTTGGAGCATCAAAGTTCTGAAGTTGTCCAGCTTTTTAATTAATGGTGAATTTAAAAGGTATTTGTTTACCATCTTCCTTGAATAAGGTGCTCAGTAGGTGATTTCCACATTGTTATTTATGAAACATAAATAAATCACTTTCTCTACTATACACAGGTCAGAGAACAATTCCAGGCTCAGATTTAAATTGGGAACCAGAATTGGGAGATCTGAGCCTCCTGCCCTTTGTTCTGAAAAATGGACCAAGCCTGCTTGATGAGAATAACAGTTTAGGACATTCTCCATTATGCACTGACAACTTCACAGCACATTTCATCTTTTCTACTACCCTACTCTGTAAGTACTTTATTAGCAGCAACATTGTTTTTCCTGAAGACTTTGGAGAAGTATAGATAAGTAATGGAATGATCGAAGGGTGGGGAGCTTAATAGAAAAACCCAAGGAACCAATTTCAGAGTTTCTGCATTGATGGAATAACCTGATTCCACAAAGTTCCATATGACATCCCCCTCCAAAGTCTCCAAAATTCTGTCTGGGAATAGTTAGGTAATTAGAATGGAATATTCATTATTTTATGCCACAAACAGATTGTTTCCCTTATTTTTGAGATATATCATTATTTGAGCTACAATCCTAGGAGACCAGCTCTTTCATGCACTGTACTCCTTTCCAGTACAAGAAACCACCAATCCACCCCCCAGTCCACCACCCTAAGTGTGATAGCTTGATTTAATAGCCTTCTTTCGAATGTCCCTCATTTAGTATACTGTCTTCCCAGGTAACCTGAGAGAAGGACATACCACCTGATTACTCCTGGCAAGTAGATTGTTTTCAGAAAGATGGTTGTTAATAATCACAAAATCATAGAATTAGAAGAAATGGTATAATGATCTAACTTCATTTTACAAATGAGGCTGAGAGAAGGGCATTACTTTTTATCCAATGAATGTACGTCCTGGATTCACATATGGAAATTTTACCCTGTGCTATCATACTGCCCACTTTGAGTCTTTGCAGAGAAACAGTGCCTAATCAGATTTATAAAGTCAAAGAGACTCTGTAGTATATCACAGCAGTGGTTGTAGCTCAGACCATGAATTCTTTTCTTTTTCTTACACACAGTGATGGCTTTCCTGGCTCAGCTTGGAGAGGGCGGTGGGCATGGGAGAATTGAGCATAACCTCAGCATCAAGCATCTTCTCCTCACTGGCTCTGATGAGGAAAATTCCAGGTGAGGGCATTATATGTGGTTTGTTGCCTTTCATTCCTGGAAACTCCAGAGGCTTTTCTCAGAATTTGCTGAGATGTTTAACATGAGAATCTGTGTTTCCTCTCAGGGATTACTGTAAAGCTCTGTGTCTCTCCCTATGTGGTCTCTGGCTTACCCAAATTTCCCTGGAGAGCATTCTCTTTCCAACCCTTGGGGCTCACCTAGAATTTTGTATATTAGCTTGTATATATGTATTATTAATTCTAGTATATTGGCTAGAATTAGGGAAACAGAGGAGCCAGGGAATCACCAAATTTCTAGCGGCTTTCTGTTAGAAACAGCTTGCGTTCTATTAAGGAGTGATCGTCTGTGGAGATCAGTGAAATAAATGGTAGTTTTGCCTATGACTGTAGTTCTGAAGCTGAGACATATGGGTAAACGCATCTTTCTCTGTAGCTTAAATGAAGTGCTTTAACACAGAGAAACAGAAAAGTATATTCTGTTGGTCACTAAAAAATCAAATTCACTAAATATTCTTGAAGTCTTTCACTGTAAAGACCACGCGGTTGGTGTTGGGTGGGAGCAGACTTGAGTGACCCAATAATGTGTAATTAATGTGCAAGGAATTCCAAAATTGTTCATGTACAAAATCATTGAATCGACAAATTTAGTCAGATTGTCTGTTTCCACTCATTTCACTTTCTAACAGTGGATGATTTGAAACTAATGCAAATTAGAAATAGATTTAGCTTCAATTTTTTTTTTTTTGAGATGGAGTCTTGCTCTGTAGCCCAGGCTGGAGTGCAGTGGCGTGACCTCAGCTCACTGCAACCTCCACCTCCCGGGTCCCGGTTCAAGCAATTCTCTTACCTCAGCCTCCCAAGTAGCTGGGATTACAGGCATGAGCCACCATGCCCAGCTAATTTTTGTATGTTTTAGTAGAGATGGGGTTTCACCATGTTGGCCAGTCTGGCCTTGAACTCCTGACCTTGTGATCCACCCACCTCGGCTTCCCAAAGTGCTGGGATTACAGGCATGAGCCACCACGCCAGGCCTTAGCTTCAATTAAAAAAAAAATAATAATTGGCTTTTTGTTTTTCTCCTGAAAAATTGGGGTTTCTTCCTAGGATCCTCTTAATCTACTTCTTCAAAGATGACTCCTAAGGAAAGGTGACAATGATAAGCAAGGAGAAAATCTTCATTGACGGCTACTGGGGAAGCTTGTAAGTGAAATTAAGATTCAATGACAATCTGTGCTAGGAGTTCTCAAATTTTAATGTGCATATGAGTCACCTGGACATCTTGTTAAATTGCAGAGTCTGATTCAGAAGGTTGGGACCTGAGAGAGTGATTTTCTGACAAGCTCTTAGGTAATGCTGACCTTGCTGGTTCACAGACCACACTGAATAGCAATGGTCTAGGCCAGTCATTAGAAGCACCTGAGGGGACTGTTTAACACTCCTTCTTTGGCTAGAGTCACACAGTAAAGAAGGAAAAAAAAAAAAAAAAAACTCCTGATATTCAGGTGTTATGGCAGACAAATTACGTAAAAATCTTTGGATTGAACCTCTGCATTGGTATTTTCTATACTTAGTGATATGGTTTGGAGGTTTGTCTCCTCCAAATCTTATGCTGAAATATGTTTGAGGTGGGCCTAGTGGGAGATGTTCGGGTCTTGGGGGTGGATCCCTCATAACTGGCTTGGTGCCCTCCCTGCAGTAATAAGTTCTCTATTAGTTCACGCAAGAGCTGGTGATGAAAAGGGACCTGGCAGCTCCTCTCCTGTTCTCTCTCTCACCATGGGGTGACACACCTGCCGTCCTTTCACTTTCTGCTGTGAGTGAAAGCTTCCTCACAAGAAGCTGAATAGATGCTGGTGCCATGCTTGTATAGCCTGCATAATGAGTCAAATAAAACCTCTTTTCTTTATAAATTGCCCTGCCTCGGGTACTTTGTGTGTGTGTGAGAGGGTCTTGTTCTGTTGCCCAGGCTGGAATGCAGTGGTGCAATACTTGGCTCACTGCAGTCTCTACTTTCCAGGCTCAATTGATCTTCCCACTTCAGCCTCTCAAGTAGCTGAGACTGCAGGTGTGTGCCACCATGCCTAGCTCATATTTTTTGGTTTCTTTTTGTAGAGATAGACTTTCACTATGTTGCCAAGGCTGATCTCAAACTCCTGGGCTCAAGTGATCCTCCTGCCTGAGCCTACCGAAGTGTTGGGATTACAGACATGGACCACCACCTGGCCTCAGGTAGTTCTTTTATCAGTTCTGGGAGCTTTCTGGAGGAGTCTTTAGGGTTTTCTAGGTAAACAATTATCAGCAAACAGCAACAGTTTGACTTCCTGTTTTCTGATTTGAATGCTTTTTATTTTTTTCTCTTGTCT